AAAATTTAACTGGGGCTCAGCACCAGTTAATTAAAAGGGAGCTGTGTCATGACCACCCTGTGCCTTACAACCAGAGACCAGCATTGTAAAGTGGGGGCAGCATCGACACAGCCCTGTCCCTCCTCCAGCCCTGGTGCTACCACCTGCCCTCTATCATTTTAACTCAATAGGACCCATTTCTCAAGACTGGGTGCAGTGGCTCAAGCCTGTAATCCCAGCACTCTGGGAGGCTGAGGTGGGTGGATTGCCTGGGCTCCTGGGTTCGAGACCAGCCTGGGCCTTCTAAACAACAATCACAACAACAACAAAATAGCTGGGCATTGTGGTGGGTGCCTAAAGTCCCAGCTACTTGGGAGGCTGAGACAAGAGAATTACTTAAGCCCAAAATTTGAGGTTGCTATGAGCTGTGACGCCATAGCACTCTATCGAGGGCGACATAAGGAGACTCTGTTTCAAAAAAAAAAAAAAATTTAACTGGGTGTGTTGGTGTCTGTAGTCCCAGCTACTAGGGAGGCTGAGGTGAGATGATCGATTGCTTGAGCCCAGGAGTTGGAGGCTGCAGTGAGCTGTGATTATACCACTGCACCCCAGCCTGAGTGACACTAAGACCTTGTCTCTGGAAAAAATTAAAGAAAGTATAATTTAAGTCTACTACACTTAAATGATTGACTCAGCAAGTACTCTGTCCATCAAAATATAGTAAAAATACATAAAAGCTTCTCAACCAGAACTGTCAGAATGTTAACTGAGTGAGCCAGAATAACAGGGGCAAAAAAGAGATATAATTTTAATCATCTGTTTAAAAAAAAAAAGGCAAAGTCAAGTGCTGGGCCTTTCTCTGTGCCTGCAGCCCTAAATGGGAGGATATTAACACTTCAAGGATCTGTTTCAATTCCACTGCCACCTGCTGAGTCTATTTTGGTGAAGGGTGGAAGCACTGACCCATGTCATCTGCATGTTACAAACAACAGATACACATTAACTTCGTCCAAGAACCTGACTTTGAGAAATGGGTCCTATATATATATATATATATTTTTTTTTTTTTTTTTTAGAGACAGAGTCTCATTTTATCACCCTCGGTAGGGTTTTATGACATCGTAGCTCACAGCAACCTCAAACTCCTGGGCTCAAGTGATTCTCTTGCCTCAGCCTCCTAAGTAGCTGGGACTAGAGGTGCCCACCACAGCATCTGTCTATTTTTAGAGACGAGGTCTCACTCTGGCTCAGGCTGGTCTCTAACCTGTGAGCTCAGACGATCCACCTGCCTCAGCCTCCCAGAGTGCTGGGATTACAGGTGTGAGCCACATCACCCAGTCCTGAGAAATGGGTCCTATTGAATTAAAATGGTAGAGGGCAGGTGGTGGCACCATGGTTGGAGGGAGACAGGGCTGTGTCAATGCTGCCCCCACTTTACAACGCTGGTCTCTGCTTGTAAGGCACAGGGTAGTCATGACACCAGCTCCCTTTCTCAACAGCTAGGCCAGCATATGCCAGTTCTCAAAGCCCATGGGTGGGAAGGCCCCAGGTGTTATTTTTTCCGCAGCATTCCTGTTCCACATTTCTAGCCCATGGAGGGGATACATGTCTTCAGGAGCAGCCCCAAGCCCCTGCAGTCCTCAGTGTCTCTCTTCTCAAGGCTGAGTCACTGGATGAGTCAGGGGAGGAAGGAACCAGCGCAGTGGCCAAATAACAGGTACCAGCTGGGGAAGTGCAGTCCCTGTGGGTCCAAAGATGCTGGGACCTGCTTCACATGACCTCAGGACACTGAACCTCCCAGAGGGTCCTACCCAGCCTCAGAGGCTGGATGTGCAGCTGTAGTCACAGTGCACAGGGTGGGGCCCATGCCCCTCACGACAGCTGGAAACAGAAGGCACTGGGTTCCCCTAGGTGCAGTGGGGCCAGAGCCAGCACCCAGGCTGCCTCCTCACCTTAAGCTTGCCTAGCCCTTCATGGCCCATCAGAGTTGTGGTGCGCTGTGGCTGGGTGCCAGGCTGGACACCTTGTGATAACAACTCCCTGGGCAGCCATCCTTGGGCTGGACTGTTCTGCTTGGATAAGAGGTCAGATTGACATGGGGCACTAGGCTCAGCTTAGAGCAACAGCCTGACCATGTCAGGGCTGGTCTCATAGAGGCCTTGGGGGCCCCAACCCCATACCAGGGCTTGGGTCTCTCCCATTGAATGATTTTTCAATGTCAGAAGGCTAGCCCCTTCCCAGCCTTGGCCACCATCCTCAGTGTATATAGCCAGTGCCCTAATCACTGAGCTATGGGTGCTAAGCCAGAGTTGAACGTTTTGTGTTAAATGTCTGTTACACTGTGCACTCTTAAAATTCCCAAATGTATATACTTTTAATTTCAGGGGAATTTACTTTATGTTCAAACCTACCTGCCTCAGTGTACATGGCCGGTGTCCTAATCACTGAGCTATGAGCACCAAGCCCCAAAACAGATTTTTTTTTTTTTTTTTTT